AAAACATCTACTCTCCTAATCGGTACATCAAATGACTGAGTTTAATGTGACCAAACCATCTAAGTTGATTCTCTTTATTTTTGTTCGTTACAGCAGCTACACCAACCCTATGACGATTATATCAATTTTTGGCCCCAGATGAGGAATCTCACGTGCCTCCATGAGACTGTTGGTGATACTGAACTCTTTTCATGAGTTCGATTACGACGATAGGCAGGTCAATCCCATTGCTCGACTCGATTAGCCTCATTCTTAGTTTTGGTTGGTTTGCACTCGGTCGGCTTCCAGCCCCGATTCACTGGGTTGCATCTGATTAATTAAGAGTCTGGTTGGGGCAGCTGTAGCTTATTGAATAATCTGATGATAAGTTTATTAAAAATTATATACTGATAAGCTAGGTGCGGTGGCTATTACAAATTTTTATTTTTTAGAAAAGTCAGACCGCTGCCAATAAGCTGTCACCGCACCTAGATAGGTGCGGTACCTAGATAGGTGCGGTGTGAAAACGCAGTTTTCTGCGTTTTCAAAACGCATAAGCTGTCAAAACACAGTTTACCCAAACAAGTCAGGTGTGTTTTCAAAACGTCACTGCACCAAATAAACTGCCCCATACAGGCCCTAAGTGGGTCATATGGTCTTCCGTCAACAAGCCCTTATTCATTGTACTTCCTTTCTTTTGGAAGTAAGTCTTCTCGGGATTCATGCCAACGCATTTTCTAATGTATAGATATGAAAGATTTGGGCAGTATAAATATAAAAAGTAAAATTTAAGACCTTAAATGTTTAAATACATAGGAATTGAATGGTATGTATGTCAATGCCTTTTAAAATATTGAATCTAATTAATACTATCTTTAATCTAATTATTAAAATAACAAATTATTATTCATAATTTGTATGGGAATATAGACAATAGATAATGAACTTTATTATTTGGACAACTACATTAAACAAAGCTATCAACTCCAAGTGATGAGTAAGATGAGCAAATGACTAAACAATAAAATGTAATATCATTTTAGATAAAAACATTCATATAAACTCTGTATTTTATATTTATATCACCAAAATCTTTGCTAACACATCTAAAGCATTAACATTTTAACTTCTAAAAAAAACAAAAATACACATTTTTATGTATTGATAAAAGGGACAAAAGTTATTGAAATTTGGGTAGGTGTGGAAATGCAAAAGAGTTGAGGGGTGTGTATGTAAATTTTCATTGGTGTTATTGTTAATTGGGGGAATTTAGATACATACCACACAATTCTTATGTATTTACATATCTAACACCCCAACTTTAATAACTTCTTGCACACCATTCAAATCTTTAACATTAAATCAAAAATAATACCTTCATTATATTTATATAAGTGAAATGCACATTTCCATACCTAGGTTTATGATGCCAAGATGTTGCAAGTGTAAATATGAAATCCTGCGTGTTAGTTATGTAAAAAAATAAAAATTGTGTGCTAGTTTGAAAATTTTTCAAATTTATTATTATTATTTTAAATTTGTTGCCTCAATGCCGCCAGAACAAATTGCATGGGAATAAAGCAGAGATGCTGCTCTCAGCCTACCCAACACCAACGGTCGTCTCCTCTTCTTCTTCCCCGCTTCTCGATCTCAAGAACTGCAAAAGTTTCAGGAATCTTCGCCAACTCCATGCCGTTGCCTTTAAGACGGGTCAAATCACTGACCCCCTCATCGCCGCTGAGGTCCTGCGATTCGCAGCTATCTCTAGTAGCCGTGACCTCGACTACGCTCTCTTGGTGTTCGAAGAAATGCCCCAACCGAACATCTTCTCCTGGAACACCATCTTCCGTGCCTTCTCTGAGAGCGACGAAGCTCCTCTCCAGGCCATATTCCTCTATATACAGCTGCTGCATAGCGATCTCTCTGTACCTAATCGTTACAGCTACCCATCACTTTTCAAAGCTTGCGCTAGAGTGTCGGCCATTGAAGAAGGTGAGCAGATTCACTGTCATGCTATAAAACTTGGGTTTTTCAGAGATGGTTTTGTTCTCACCAATTTAACGCGCCTGTACGCTCTCTGTGGAAGAATGGAGGATGCTCAGAAATTGCTTAAAAAGAGCTGTTTGCAACCTGGCAGTGAGGCGGATGCAGTGCTTCACAACATCTTGATTGATGGATACTCTAAAATTGGGATGATTTCTATTGCCAGGCAACTGTTCGATGAAATGTGTTGCAGAAGTTTGATATCTTGGAATGGGATGATATCAGCATATACAGAAGCGGGACTTTTCAGAGAAGCAGTAGATGTCTTCTCCATGATGCTTGTGAATGGTGCAAGGCCCAATCATGTCACGTTGATAACTGTTCTCCCTGCAATATCTAGGCTTGGTTCTCTAGGACTTGGAAAATTGGTTCATGCTTACGCTGCAAAGAATGAAATTGAGATCAATGATGTCTTGGGCTCGGCTCTTATCGACATGTACAGCAAGTGTGGGAGCATCCAAGCCGCCATTCTTTTGTTCGAAGCCTTGCGAAAGGAAAACTCCGTCATCTGGAGCGCACTAATCGGAGGACTAGCCTTGCATGGCCAAGCTCATGATGCCATCCATCATCTCCACTTAATGGAGCAGGCCGGTTTGATCCCTACTGATGTTGTCTTCTTAAGCGTTCTCAATGCTTGCAGCCATGCCGGGTTGGTCAAGGAAGCTGAGCTTTACTTCAAAAGAATGGTGACCATTTATGAACTGAGGCCTAGAATTGAGCACTATGGATGTATGGTCGATGTGTTCGCTCGTGCTGGGCTCGTAGAAGAAGCCGAAGAGCTCGTGAATAACATGTCAATGAAGCCTGATGATGTGATCTATAAAGCTTTGCTTGCAGCTTGCAGAATATTTGGTAAGCTTGAAGTTGGGGTGAGAGCGGCAATTCGTCTCCTCGAACTCGCTCCAACTGCTGGTGATTGTTATGTTCTTCTATCAAACTTCTATGCTTCTTTGGGAGATTGGGAAGCTGTTGCTGAACTGAGGCTGAGGATGAAGGAGCTTGAAATTAGAAAGAATCCTGGCTGTAGTTGGATTGAAGTTGATGGCAGAATCAATGAGTTTTTTGTGGAAGATTATTCCCATCCAAGAGCAAAAGATATACTTTTGAAGCTGGAGGAGATGGCGGGCGAATTGCACAAAGAAGGTTATGTGGCAGATAAAAGAGGAGTTTTGCTGAAGATTGATGAGGAAGAGAAGGATTGTATGGTTTTATATCATAGCGAGAAGTTTGCTGTTGCTTTTGGGCTTATCAGCACTAAGCCCGGGATGCCACTGAGAGTGATGAAGAACCTTAGAGTGTGTGGAGACTGCCATGAATTTTTAAAGCTGGTTTCCAAGGTTTATGGAAGGAGGATAATTGTGAGGGATCGCCGTCGGTTCCATCATTTTGAGAATGGATGCTGTTCTTGCAGGGATTACTGGTGACAACAGATTGAAAGATTGAATTTTTATGGAGGTTGTTAATTCAAAATGGTTCTTTTCCTCATGGAGATCAATCAAGTTGCTTTTTTGAAGCTTCAAATCTTGCTGATTTTGATGCGAGATGAAACATCTTTAGTATGGGAAGTCTCAATGTCTGTAGTTTCATCTTCATAACTGTTTTTTGCTCTAATAATCCACTTGTCTAACACATAGAATTTGATATTTACACTTGCACCAGTTCTGTGTCGCGAACCTATAAATGAACTTTTAAAGAGATAGTACTGATATGATGTTAAAGATTTAAGCGATTTACAAATAAATATGACCACTTAGGCGCTAGATATGTAAGTAAATGACCCTTTCTTTGTAAAGGTTGGGAAGCCCAAGCCCAGCCTTTATTGAAATCATTTGATTTTAATTTATAGCTCTTTTTTGAAATCATTTGAATCATTGACACTCATGCATTGTATATTTATTTAATGATATTTTTCAAGCTTGAAACAGCTCAAAGTAGGATCTAAACTATAATAAAGGCCAAAAAAAAGCCATCATTAGGGCTGCAAATGAACCGAGCGTTTGACTAATTTTTCATAACTCAGCTCGATAAGAGCTCATTCATATTCATTTAATCAACTAAAAGAACAACTTTGTAAACTTTCATAAATGCTCGATTGTTAAATGAACAAGCTTTAACACCTTCACTTCATTTATGTTCGCGAACAATTTCATTTAAAGCTCGCGAACAAACTCGATAAAAGATTTTTTTAAAATTCATTAATAAGATCAATTTAATGCTTATGAATAAAGTCGGTTAAAATTTAATTTAAGCTTGTGAATGACTCATTTAAAACTTAATTAAAAAATTATTTATATAAATTGTTGTATATAAAACAAGATAAAAACTTATTTTTTTTATTTATTTAAGATATTCATTTAAAAGCTCATTTATTTTTGTAAGTTTAACCAGTAGTTCATTGATAAGCTCGATACTGCTCGTTTGATTACAAAATAAATAGCTTAATCATACTGTTTATTATTTTATTTGATAAGTCTTAATCAGTTAGAAAATAAATAACACGACAACATTAATTTTAATTCGCTCAATAGAAATTGTTTGGATAGAAATTAAGTAGCTTGGTACCATACTCATTAATCTGTTCGATAATGATTCGATTATCATCAAATGAAATGAACAAGAATCAACCTCAAACAAGAACTAAGTTTGATTTTGAGTTTGAGCTTGGCTCGAGCTCAAGTTTTATAAGCAAGCACAAGCTTTACCACAACCCCAAAAAACTCAATTTGAGCTTGAACAAATTCTATAGACAAGCTCGAACTCGAGCAGAGTCCTTCTCGACTCGGCTCGGTTCATTTGCAGCGCTATGTCACCTCCCAAAAGAGCCCTTAAGGGTGGTGGGCAGCCCAGGACTTAAATACTGCTTTT